TCTATTATCTATACAATAGGCTATCATTGATTTTGTCACAATATGCCTGCTGACATATTACCTCTTTCAAGGAGCTTTCTGTTTTGATAGGATTATTTTGCCTAAAAACCTTTAGGCCTACCTATAAAAAAACAACTCCGCATCCCTGCCCAGCCTGGCAAGAGTGGCCCGAAGGGTTTTTAGCATCCCCAGTGGCTCTGCAAGTGCGGAGAGGGTATTCTCCGCTGCTGGCCTGCTCTCCAGGCACCATCGCATGATCCTGAAGCCAAACTCGTGTTTCTAAAAGTGAATTCCAATGCCTAATGAGGCATTTTTAATTTCATTTTTATTTAATTATAATTCTATCCTATAAACGCAATTTATAGACTATAATAATTTAATAGAATGAAATGTTGTTTAAATGCTGAGCGCTTAATGTTGATGTCGCTCTCGTACATGCTTCACAATGTACACTGAGGGAAAAAAGTATTTGATCCCCTGCTGATTTTGTACGTTTGCCCACTGACAAAGAAATGATAAGTCTATAATTTTAATGGTAGGTTTATTTGAACAGTGAGAGACAGAATAACAACAAAAAAATCCAGAAAAACGCATGTCAAAAATGTTATAAATTGATTTGCATTTTAATGAGGGAAATAAGTATTTGACCCCTCTGCAAAACATGACTTAGTACTTGGTGGCAAAACCCTTGTTGGCAATCACAGAGGTCAGACGTTTCTTGTAGTTGGCCACCAGGTTTGCACACATCTCAGGAGGGATTTTGTCCCACACCTCTTTGCAGATCTTCTCCAAGTCATTAAGGTTTCGAGGCTGACGTTTGGCAACTCGAACCTTCAGCTACCTCCACAGATTTTCTATGGGATTAAGGTATGGAGACTGGCTAGGCCACTCCAGGACCTTAATGTGCTTCTTCTTGAGCCACTCCTTTGTTGTCTTGGCCTTGTGTTTTGGGTCATTGTCATGCTGGAATACCCATCCACGACCCATTTTCAATGCCCTGGCTGAGGGAAGGAGGTTCTCACCCAAGATTTGACGGTACATGGCCCCGTCCATCGTCCCTTTGATGCGGTGAAGTTGTCCTGTCCCCTTAACAGAAAAACATCCCCAAAGCATAATGTTTCCACCTCCATGTTTGACGGTGGGGATGGTGTTCTTGGGGTCATAGGCAGCATTCCTCCTCCTCCAAACACCGCAAGTTGAGTTGATGCCGAAGAGCTCGATTTTGGTCTCATCTGACCACAACACTTTCACCCAGTTCTCCTCTGAATCATTCAGATGTTCATTGGCAAACTTCAGACTGCCCTGTATATGTGCTTTCTTGAGCAGGTGGACCTTGCGGGCGCTGCAGGATTTCAGTAATTCACAGCGTAGTGTGTTACCAATTGTTTTCTTGGTGACTATGGTCCCAGCTGCCCTGAGATCATTGACAAGATCCTCCCGTGTAGTTCTGGGCTGATTCCTCACCGTTCTCATGATCATTGCAACTCCATGAGGTGAGATCTTGCATGGAGTCCCAGGCCGAGGGAGATTGACAGTTATTTTGTGCTTCTTCCATTTGCGAATAATCGCACCAACTGTTGTCACCTTCTCACCAAGCTGCTTGGCGATGGTCTTGTAGCCCATTCCAGCCTTGTGTAGGTCTACAATCTTGTCCCTGACATCCTTGGAGAGCTCTTTGGTCTTGGCCATGGTGGAGAGTTTGGAATCTGATTGATTGATTGCTTCTGATCTTTCTGATTGAGAGGGGGGTCAAATACTTATTTCCCTCATTAAAATGAATAATCAATTTATAACAACAATGCGTTTTTCTGGATTTTTTTGTTGTTATTCTGTCTCTCACTGTTCAAATAAACCTACCGTTAAAATATATTTCTCTGTCAGTGGGCAAACGTACAAAATCAGCAGGGGATCAAATACTTTTTTCCCTCACTGTATTTCTTTGTAGGCTATAGCCTTGAAATAATTGAAATAATAGGCTAATAATAATAATAATAATATAGCCTAAACAATTCATTTTCGTTCCTTCTTCTGCGACATGTCTGGCTCCTGACCTATTTAGCGTGTTTATATGCAGTTACATTTTTCGTAGCTGTTTATTTACCACCACAAACCAATGCTGGCACCAAGACCGCACTCAACGAGCTGTATAGGGCCATAAGAAAACAAGAAAATGCTCATCCAGAGCTCCTAGTGGCCGGAAACTTAAATCTGTTTTACCTTATTTCTACCAGCATGTTACATGTGCAACCAGAGGAAAAAAAACTCTAGACCACCTTTACTCCACACACAGAGACGCGTACAAAGCTCTCCCTCGCCCTCCATTTGGCAAATCTGACCATAACCTCATGATTCCTGCTTACAAGCAAAAACTAAAGCAGGAAGTAGCAGTGACTCGCTCAATATGGAAGTGGTCAGATGACGCAGATGCTAAGCTATAGGACTGTTTTGCTAGCACAGACTGAAATATGTTCCTGGATTCTTCCGATGGCATTGAGGAGTACACCACATCAGTCACTGGATTCATCAATAAGTGCATCGATGACACCGTCCCCACAGTGACCGTACGTACATACCCCAACCAGAAGCCATGGATTACAGGCAACATCTACATTGAGATAAAGGGTAGAGCTGCCACTTTCAAGGAGCAGGACTCTAACCCGGACGCTTATAAGAAATCCCGCTATGCCCTCAGACGAACCATCAAACAGGCAAAGCGTCAATATAGGACTAAGATTGAATCCTACTACACCGGCTCCGACGCTCGTCGGATGTAGCAGGGCTTGCGAACTATTACGGACTACAAAGGAAAGCACAGCCATGAGCTGCCCATACGAGCTAAATGACTTCTATGCGCGCTTTGAGGCAAGCAACACTGAAGCATGCATGAGAGCACCTGCTGTTCCGGGCGACTGTGTGATCACGCTCTCCGTAGCCGATGTGAGTAAGACCTTTAAACAGGTCAACATTCACAAGGCTGCAGGGCCAGACGGATTACCAGGACGTGCACTCAGAGCGTGCGCTGACCAACAGGCAAGTGTCTTCACTGACATTCTCAACCTGTCCCTGACCAAGTCTGTAATACCAACATGTTTCAAGCAGACCACCATAGTCCCTGTTCCAAGGTAACCTGCCTAAATGACTACCGACCCGTAACACTCACGTCTGTAGCCATGAAGTGCTTTGAAAGGCTGGTAATGGCTCACATCAACACCATCATCCAAGAAACCCTAGACCCACTCCAATTTGCATACCGCCCCAACATATCCACAGATGACGCAATCTCTACTGCACTCCACACTGCCCTTTCCCACCTGGACAAAAGGAACACCTACATGAGAATGGTAATCATTGACTACAGCTCAGCATTCAACACCATAGTGCCCTCAAATCTCATCACTAAGCTAAGGACCCAAGGACTAAACACCTCCCTCTGCAACTGGATCCTGGACTTCCTGACGGGCCGCCCCCAGGTGGTAAGGGTAGGTAACAACACATCTGCCACGCTGATCCTCAACACGGGGGCCCCTCAGGGGTGCGTGCTCAGTCCCCTCCTGTACTCCCTGTTCACCCATGACTGCATGGCCAAGCACAACTCCAACACCATCATTAAGTTTGCCGACGACACAACAGTGGTAGGCCTGATCACCGACAATGATGAGACAGCCTACAGGAAGGAGGTCAGAGACCTGGCAGTGTGGTGCCAGGATAACAACCTCTCTCTCAACGTGATCAAGAGAAAGGAGATGATCATGGACTACAGGAAAAGGAGGGCCGAGCACGCCCCTATTCTCATCGAGAGCTTCAAGTTCCTTGGTGTCCACCAAGACAGTCGTGGAGAGGGCACGACAACGCCTATTCCCCCTCAGGAGACTGAAAAGATTTGGCATGGGTCCTCAGATCCTCAAAAAGTTCTACAGCTGCACCATCGAGAGCATCCTGACTGGTTGCATCACCGCCTGGTACGGCAACTGCTCGGCCTCCGACCGCAAGGCACTACAGAGGGTGTGCGTACAGCCCAGTACATCACTGGGGCCAAGCTTCCTGCCATCCAGGACCTCTATACCAGGCGGTGTCAGAAGAAGGCCCTAAAAATTACCAAAGACTCCAGCCACCCTAGTCATAGACTGTCCTCTCTGCTACCACATGACAAGCGGTACCGGAGCGCCAAGTCTAGGTCCAAAAGGCTTCTTAACAGCTTCTACCCCCAAGCCATAAGACTCCTGAACAGCTAACCAAATGGCTACACAGACTATTTGCCTTGATACGCTGCTGCTACTCTCTGTTTATGATCTATGCATAGTCACTTTACCTCTACCTACATGTACATATTACCTACATTTCCTCGGCTAACCTGTGCCCCCGCACATTGACCCGGTACTTGTACCCTCTGTATATAGCCTCGTTACTGTTATTTTATTGTTGCTCTTTAATTATTTATAAATAAATAAAAATCTTATTTTTTTAAATGTATTTATTTATTGTTTACTTCAGTTTATTTAGTAAATACTTTCTTAATACTTATTTTTTCTTCAAACTGCTTTGTTGGTTAAGGGCTTGAAAGTAACCATTTCACTGTAAGGTCTACACCTGTTGTATTCGGCGCATGTGACAAATACTATTTAATTTAATTTAATATGACATATAGCCTATTTGAAATTATGAGCGCTTCTTACAGTCACCTTTTGATGTTGTTTATTAAAATACTTTCATTAAAATCATATCGTTTGGTTTAAATACTTCAAAACCAAATGGTAGGTCCAGGTAGTCACAAAAATAGATGGGTGTTGGTTAAATTGTGATTTTAATGAATGGAGCGAATTTGGAGCGGCAGTTTTGTTTCCTGTGAGCGATCTTTAGCGCTTGGAAATTACGTGGAGCAGTGCACAAGCATGAGCGATGAGCGGGATTTCCGACTGCTCAACTCCTCTCACATACTCTGGTTCACACAGCTGCTGGGGGAGCAGGGGGAGAGTGGTAACAGCAGTCCCCACTTCTCAGGAGAGAACGGCGTTGACGGCGTGGATCAGGACATTGACACAGTAAGACTGTCACTGATGGCCTCGACGTCATCCTATCTCTCTCCTCCCACCATGTAGCTTCCTGTACTGCCCTGTTTTGTTCAATCAGTGCAATCAAAGAAAGTGCCCTCTGTAATTCTCCATAACTCACTGTAAAAATTCCAGAGTTCACATTCACTTTTTTGTGTGTTATTAATCAAGACACCACTTATACTGACCAGGAGCTTTTTGCATAAGGACATGTTTTAACCCTTACCTGCCGACAGATCTCCAGCCATTCCAGCCGGGAGAACAGTGTGGAGCGGAACCTTCCTATAGAGGTCGTCTACCCTGACCTGCCCAGCAGAGGTAAGAGAGAACATCTTAAAAAGACTGTTAAGACAGACGAGAGAAAGAAATGAGGGGTGAGAGGAATAACAGAGGACATATAAGATATATGAATATTATGTAATATTATTCATAATGATATACCTTCTTCAGAACCTGGGAAGGGCAGCACCACTCCTAGAAGCAGCATCAGCAAAGCTCAGGATGATCAGTTCACATTCACAGAGGAGGAAGATTCAGATAGTTAAACACACACTGAAACAGACACAGACACAGACGCACACACACACACACACACACACACACACACACACACACACACACACACACACACACACACACACACACACACACACACACACACACACACACACTCAAACATAACACACATTAAAATATTGTTTGAATGGCCTGTTGTCTTTTTTCTCTCTTGAACAGCTGACTCGTGGGTTTGGATCGTCACTGAAAGGGTTATAACCCTCCTCCTTATCAGAGAGCTGCGCAACCTCAATGTCCTCCTATCCATCTATCTGTTTCTGTGAGTACTCTCCTCTCCATCTCTCTCCATCTATCCGTTCCTGATCTCCATCCCTCTCCTCTCCATCTCTCTCCATCGATCTGTTCCTGGTCTCCATCCCTCTCCTCTCTCCATCCTCTGTAACTAGATCTATAGGTGCTGAAGCCCTTGCATCACCTTTCATCTATTCTCACAAACATACTGCCACGTGTGAGAATGGGTGTGTTCATCTTTAAACATCTTAAATCTATTGTCAGCTTCCGAAATCTTACACAAGTTTTCATCTTGGATCTAAAACGGCATTTGTCTATGTATAGGAAGAGTCACATATCATATTCTTCGAAAATATATATACTAATCTATCGACTCTATTATTATGGTGGGAGATTATAATACCGTTTTAAGTACCCCAATGGATCGTAAAAGGAAATCACACTACAAATGATCACCCTTACGCATAGTGGATATATGGAGGCTTAAAGGTCCAGACCTAGTGAGATATACATGGAGCTAGTCGTTGTGATTATTGTTTTGTATCCTTCACGCTGGCACCAAAAGTTAAAAAGACTTTGGATAGGGGGCAGAATGTGGTCAGATCATCAAATAACAGTACAGATGGGTAGCAATAAAAAGTTAGAGGAAAAACTAAAAGAAATGGAGGAACTTATTCGGGAACGATCAAGTATAATATATTATAAAAAATTAAGCGAATTGGATGGAAATTGTGAAAAATGCACCAAATTCTTTTTGAATCTTCAACATAGAAATGCTACCAAAAATAATGTACGGAAACTTGTTACAAATGGAGTCATCCATGATTCACCAAATGAGATTTTGAAAGAGGAAGCAAAGTATTTTAAGAATATGTTCTCTTTTCAGTCTCCCCCATTTCCACTACCTAAAGTTAACTGTGATGAATGTTTTCCTAATAATAGTGTAAAATTAACAGCTGTACAGAAATACTTGTGTGAGGGCCAAATTGTAGAGGAGGAACTTCTTGATGCAATTAAAGCCATTAGGCCAGGGAAAACTCCAGGGCTGGATGGCATACCAGTTAAGGTATATGAAACCTTTTATAATCTTCTCAAAGATCCATTATTAGCATGTTGTAACCACTCCTATAAAAATTGTCAACTATCAGGTACTCAGCAAGAAGGTCTGATTTCACTATTACTGAAACAGGAACCTGGTGGTAAGTATAACGTATACCTAAAAAACTGGAGGCCCCTTACACATCAGTGCTGTGATGCAAAAATCCTAGCAAAATGCATAGAGCATAGAATTAAAAGCTGTTGTCGGATATTATTCATCCTGATCAGACAGGGTTTTTACATGGACGATACATTGGAGATAATAAAAGACAAGTACTTGAAACAATAGAACACTGAAAAATCTAGGAAACCAGGTCTGGTATTCATAGCAGATTTTGAAAAGGCTTTTGATAAAGTACTACTAGAATGTATATATAAATGCCTGGACAATTTTAATTTAGGAGAATCTCTTATGCAATGGGTTACAGTTAAGTATAGTAAAGCCAGATGTAAAATAGTAAATAACGGCTACCCCTCAGAAAGTATTAAACTGTCAATAGGAGTAAAACAAGGTTGTCCACTGTCTGCATATCTATTTATTATGGCCATGGACATTTTTATCAGATCCAACAATAGAGGGGCAAGAAATCCAGGGCTTAAAAAAATCCAGGGCTTAAATCCACAATGTGGATCCCTGCACAGCCTCGCAGAAGATCTAGATAGTTTTTCTAACCTCCCTGGATTACAACAACAACTATGATAAGTGTCCGATATTACAGATTGGATTGCAAAAAAATACAACTTTTACATTACCCTGTAGTTTACCAATACATTACCTTTATTTAACTAAGTCAGTTAAGAACAAATTCTTATTTACAATGACGGCCTACACCGGCCAAACCAGGACGACGCTGGGCCAATTGTGCACCGCCCTATGGGACTCCCAATCACGGCCGGTTGTGATACAGCCTGGAATCGAACCAGGGGGTCTGTAGTGACGCCTCAAGCACTGAGATGCAGTGCCTTAGACCGCTGCGCCACTCGGGAGCCCATGGCCTGATGGTGAAGTGAACATACTTGGTATTCATATCCCTAAAGAAATATAGGAACTTACTACAACAAATATGAATAGGAAGTTAGCAAAAATAGATAAGATCTTGCTACCATGGAAAGGTAAATACTTGTCTATTTCTGGAAAATTCACCCTGATTAATGATTTAGTTATATCCCCGTTTACCTATTTACTTATGGCCCTGCCTACGCCGAACAATTTATCTTTTAAATTATTTGAGCAAAGAATATTTCACTTTCTTTGGATGGCATCAAGACAAAATTAAACATGCTTATTTTTATAAAGAATATGAGTTCGGGGGGCTAAAATTATGAAATATTAAAGCATTAAACCTCTCACTAAAAGCATCAGTCATACAAAAGTTATACTTAAACCCGAACTGGTTCTCCAGTAGGTTAGTAAGAATGGCTCACACCTTGTTCAAAAATGGCCTTTTCCCCTTTATTCAGATTACAACCTCTCATTTTCAGTGAATTGAAAATGGAACGTTGTTCAAATTATCGCCTTTTCTAAAACAAGCCATACAAAGCTGGTTGGAATTCCAGTTTAATCCTCCAGAAAAGACAGAACAAATATTCCAACAAATATTATGGTTAAATTCAAATATACAAATTGATAAAAAACCATTCTTTATGAACGAAGAAGAAAAAAAAGAAATTATCTTTGTTAATGATATTATGAATAGGAAAGGTGGATTTTTGTCACGTGCAGTTAACAAAAATATATGGAAATGTTTGCTCTATCCAAAATTACAACCAACTGATTGCAGCACTACCGCAAAAACGGAGGAGGCAAGTGGAAGGGGGAGAAGGTAGGGAACTTGTTTGTCTGTCCTTTATTAAAGACCTAATTTGGCAACAACAACAAAAAGATATACAGTATCCGTCAAAAGTTTGGACACACCTACTCTTTCAAGGGTTTTTCTTTATTTGTACTATTTTCTACATTGTAGAATATAAGTGAAGACATGAAAACTATGAAATAACACATATGAAATCATGTAGTAACCAAAGAAGTGTTTAACAAATAAAAATATATTTTATATGTGAGATTCTTCAAAGTAGCCACCCTTTGCCTTAATGACAGCTTTGCACACTTTTGGCATTCTCTCAACCAGCTTCATGAGGTAGTCACCTGGAATGCATTTCAATTAACATGTGTGCCTTCTTAAAAGTTAATGTGTGGAATTTCTATCCTTCTTAATGCGTTTGAACCAATCAGTTGTGTTGTGACAAGCTAGGGGTGGTATATATAGAAGATAGCCCTATTTGGTAAAAGACAAAGTCCATATTATGGCAAGAACAGCTCAAATAAGCAAAGAGAAATGACAGTCCATCATTACTTTAAGACATGAAGGTCAGTCAATGCGGAACATTTCAAGAACTTTTAAAGTTTCTTCAAGTGCAGTCGTAAAAACCATCAAGCGCTATGATGAAACTGGCTCTTATAACTACCGCCACAGGAAAGGAAGACCCAGAGTTACCTCAGCTACAGAGGAAAAGTTAATTAGAGTTAACAGCACCTCAGATTGCAGCCCAAATAAATGCTTCACAGAGTTCAAGTAACAGGCACATCTCAACATCAACTGTTCAGAGGAGACTGCGTGAATCAGGCCTTCATGGTCGAATTGCTGCAAAGAAACCACTACTAAAGGACACCAATAAGAAGAAGAGACTTGCTTGGGCCAAGAAACACGAGCAATGGACATTAGATCGGTGGAAATCTGTCCTTCGGTCTGATGAGTCCAAATTGGAGATTTTTGGTTCCAACCGCCGTGTCTTTGTGAGACGCAGAGAAAGGTGAACGGATGATCTCTGCATGTGTGGTTCCCATCGTGAAGCATGGTGGAGGTGTGATGGTGTGGGGGTGCTTTGCTGGTGACACTGTCTGTGATTTATTTATTAACCAGCATGGCTACCACAGCATTCTGCAGCGATACGCCATCCCATCTGGTTTGCGCTTAGTGGGACTATCATTTGTTTTTTAACAGGACAATGACCCAAAACACACCTCCAGGCTGTGTAAGGGCTATTTGACCAAGAAGGAGAGTGATGGAGTGCTGCATCAGATAATCTGGCCTCCACAATCACCCGACCTCAACCCAATTGAGATGGTTTGGGATGAGTTGGACCGCAGAGTGAGGGAAAAGCAGCCAACAAGTGCTCAGCATTTGTGGGAACTCCTTCAAGACTGTTGGAAAAGCATTCCTCATGAAGCTGGTTGAGAGAATGCCAAGAGTGTGCAAAGCTGTCATCAAGGCAAAGGGTGGCTATTTGAAGAATCTCAAATATGAAATATATTTTGATTTGTTTAACACTTTTTTAGTTACTACAGGATTCCATATGTGTTATTTCATAGTTTTGATGTCTTCACTATTATTCTACATTGTAGAAAATAGTAAAAATAAAGTAAAACCCTTGAATGAGTAGGTGTGTCCAAACATTTGACTGGTACTGTATATATATCAGTTTTACTTGAGGATCAAAATGTTGATAGTGGCGCCATGCACGTTGCAAAATAGTTGGGAAGATATTTTTAATGTGCCGATTCCATGGTACATGGTTTATGAATTGATACCAAAACAACGCTTGATTCAAAACTAAGAGTTTTTTAATTTAAATTATTATACTAAATTCTTGCCACAAACAGAATGGCATATATATATGGGGCATACAACCATCTCAGCTCTGCAGATTTTGCTACGAAGAGACAGAATCATTAGATCACTTATATATACAAAATTATATATACAAAAGTATGTGGACACCCCTTCAAATTAGTGGATTCGGCCATTTCAGCCACACTCGATGCTGACAGGTGTATAAAATCGAGCACATAGCCATGCAATCTCCATAGACAAACATTGGCAGTAGAATGGCCTTACTGAAGAGCTCAGTGACTTTCAACGTGGCACCG